CTTAAAAATGTCACAAGTTCACTCCCACAACATGTGCTACTGATCACTGAGAGAGACCCCAACCTCTGCACTCTGAGTACCAGTGTTAACCAAGTGGCTGGATAGCTAAATTAGATTTAATGTAAACAGTGTCAGTGCTCACCTTGACTCAAAGGTACTAATCCGTCTAACTCCACTTCATCTGACCATGACTTTGTGGTGTCTCAGCAATTTATGGGTCAGTCATTTGCTTGGCTCAGCATTTCTAGTCTCATAGTATTAATAGGGTTAAAGACTCAGGGCCAGATTTGTTTCAGATACATTCTGCACCCACAGACTTTTGTGTCATTTATCCAACAGGCACAATGGAAAACCCTGAAAGTCTGTCTTTCATATGAGGCTGGTATGAGTGCAAAAAGTGGAATTATGTATTTAATAGGGGATCAGGTAAGTCGTAGGTATGATTTTACGGCAGTCAATTTTTTTTCTTTATTCATTTTTTCGTCTACAAAATGTCAGTAAACTGTGAAAAATGGTTGTCACAATTGCACAAGTCCCAAGTTACATCTTCAAATTGCCAGTCCAAAACCCAACCATATTCAGATTAGAAAAATTCACATTTGAGAAGTAGTTTTTTGGCATTTTGGGTGAAAATTAACTTATATATTGATTGATCATGACAATTATTTTTTGTTGATTAATCGTCTAATTGTTCTAAGCTCTGGTTGAATGCAATTTACACTTGATTAACTAAGATTCACCCAGTTTGTGGCGTCAGTTGTAAAGAGCAACTTAACACTTTTTGAGGAACCATGTTCTTTCCGTCACTCTTAAATTTCGGACAGGTCTAAAAACTACAATACCCATGAGCCTCAGGCACCATTTGTATTGAGAAGAAGTCAGTCAGAGGCAGGAATCAGAATTGTTTGGAATTCAAGTCACTTCATCGTTGCAGTTATCAACAAAATGTGGAGTCAAGGCTGCTGAATCAAGACTCACCCATAATATAAAAGTGAACGGATTTAAGCTGCAGATTGTGTTTTCAGTTTTCTCAGTAGTATAATCTTTGTGACAGTGATTGGATGTTTGCTGTCAAAATGCACCTTGGAGCCGTGGTCAACAGCTAGTGTTTTATTCACACTACGCAAAGCATTACTCACCAAATCTGAAAGCAGTACCAGGAACTTTTGCACCTCTGAAAATTAAAGGAGGGTGAAAGGAAACTTTTTCACTGAACTCTGCTCTACAGAAATCTAAATGAAAACCCCAGTAAGTAGCTGTGTTGATGAACTCTGGGTCATAAACGATAACTGACTGAGCAATACGAGGAACAACGAAGTTTCAACATGCATCTTTGAACTGCTGATTCATAATCATGGGAGTCTTGCCTTCCTACTGTTACTGTCATTCACTGCTGTTCTTTCCATCATCTGTCAGTTCCTCTGGACACGTTGCTTCTGCCTCTCTTTGTTTACTATAAATTTTCAGTCAATTCTTGAGTGAAATGTAGAAATGCAAATAGCGCCCGTGTCATCTGCTCCTTAGGGAAACACAGAGCAACTGCCAGCAACTATTGTGGATGAGCCCCAGAAATACCCAGAATGCAACACAATGTGGCAATGATTCCCAAGCCCTACTGGGACCCTCAGAATGACTTCAAAATGGTTTTATTTCCAAAAAAAATCAGATCTAGGTTAGTTACTGTATTGTAATGATGAAATTATTTGTGAGAACTTTCTAGGTGTTCATGACTCTTGTGAAGTTTTGTATTTTCACAGTCAGTTACAGTTTTAAAAGTCAGGTCTATGGCACCCACTCTGGAAATAAATGGGGCAACGAATAGGTTTTAACACAAAATGTATGGAAACGTCAGGCCTGGAGGTTTTATTGAGAAGGTTGGGAAAGTAACAAAATAATGATGGTCCAAATCATTTCGGTCTGAGACCACAAAGTCATGGTCACAGACTTCTGGACACAACTATATATCTGCTGCACTTCCAGCAGCAGAGGTGAGGTAATTTTCTATCAGAACATAAGAAAAAATGTCAGCAGAGCATAATACTTATCACTGACATGCTGAGTGTCTTTTTCTAAAGAAGCATTATTGATTCCCTGCTGACAAAGATCTGTGTGAAAGATACTTCAAAACCCACTGGTGTGAATCACAATGTGAAATATGAGACTGCTGCTTATGCTGCAAGATGTTTTAGCTGAGAGGTAAGTTGGCAACATACTGATCAACAGGTTATCTACAGTATGAGTCCATTTGCATGCGCACACACTTACGTATACACACATGCAGACAGGCAAAAGTATCCTTCATAAAACCCCAATTACAACAACATAAACTGAGCAGCAGTGTATCAGTCAGAGTTGTAAATGCAAGGCTGTCTGTGGACAGACCTGGCAGTGGGCCTTGAAATGCTAGCAAATCAATTGTGGCTCACACACACTCACACACAAACATACAAACTCCAAAAAAAAAAAAAAAAAAAAAAGAAAAACAGAATTTTTATTGGATGCCCAGAAACGGTCGGTGATCAAACTCCAACAACCAAAAGAGCCACAGTGATTTAGTGGAGCGAAAATCCATTATGGCTCCATCCAAAGGTAATGACTTCTTCAGGCCTTCCAGCTGATTCTCCAGAACAAGAGTGGGAGGAGAAAACACACACTCTCTCTCTCTCTCTCTCACGCACACACACATACAAGGGACAAATCAGCCGTTTGTACAGAACAGCGTGAGGTCTTCAAAGAGTCCACACACTGACATCACCTTTCTTTTATTCCTTCAATCACTCAGAGTGGCAGTGGAGACAGATGCATCTCTGTTCAAACTGAACTGGATCACGTATACCTACAGTCTGCTGATACGAATTTGATCTCTCTTATTTGTTAATCATGACGTGAAGACATAAAGCTGAGCATTATTGCAGCAATAAGGCAGAACATAGCAGAAGCAGTATTGACTTTTCATTCTGCACACTATAGGCTGCAGTAAATCCTCCACATAACACTGACCTTTATGTAAAAACTCGGAAAGAACTAGAATTACCAGCACTGATAATGGCTCAACCTGGTGATTTCCTCAACCTTCAATATGTTTCTTTTTCCTGTTTTATTACAGTAATCTTTTACACCAGCTAGTTACCATGAAGAAAGCAGCGAATCTCTAACCACTCAAGGAAAAAATTCAGAGCAAAGAAAAAATGTATGAAAAATGTTTTTCAGTCTCGCAAAAGGAAAACACTGAGGTGCCCTTGAGCAACACAGGTAATCTTAACATATCATATGGAGCAGTGAGCGTTGCTGGAGAACCACACCCCTCTCAGTGTAGATAGCCCTGCAATGCAATTTTAAAAAAAAAAAACGCCCTACAGTGTCCAAGAGAACTTTGGACGTTGCCATTACGGAGATAAATTACCTTCTTCACTGCTCCTGCTTGGAGAGTACTGAAACTGCATTTGAAGCACCCTTCTGCTAAGAGTTGACTCCTACAGTACCAGTGAGTGCTCTGAGCATTAAAACATGCTAAGCTCTCAATGCTGCCAGCGCTATGAAGCGGTGCCTCCTTTTATTTGATAGTAAGTGTAAAACTAAAGCAGTGCTGTAACACAGATTCCTGGCAGAGTTTTACACCCTGAATCATATTGATTTCCTGATGCTGCATTTACTGGACTGTGAACTAAATAAAAATCACAAAAACAACTCACAGTTTTGGGTGGATGATATAGATATGAAAATACTTGTGCACTGGCACCTTCCTGATAATGGTGCTTTATACCACTAAGTAAGTTACAGTAAAGTAGATGCATCATTAGCAAGCAGCTGTGACACCAATTAAATCTTCCTGTATTTATACACACAGGGTTAAACTGCCTTCTGTTCTCTATGTGATCTCCTGTTTACAACATCTTGCTTTTATTATCTTTACTATCCATTTTTTTTTTAGCAGGATTTGTAACTTTTGTTTTCTTTGTGTCTTACCAATTTGTTAGCACAGCTTAAATTCATATGACATTACAAACATGTCTGTAAAGCCTCATTAACTGTAAGACTCATTGTTGATTAGAGCCAGCTTTAGGCCAATGCAACTGGCTAATTGCCAACCCCTAAATAAGAGTTCTTCACCAAGGTAAGTAACAAAGTCTAATCCTGTAAAGTAGCTAATTAAGAGGTGGCAGGAGCTAATGCTGCTTTATACCATGCTAACAGTATGAAATGAAAAACACAGTCTGAGGTGATGGGTCACGGTAACATGTTATTAGAACATATTTTGATTAAAGAGAACAATATGCTTGGTATTGACAGAAACAAGCAGAGGATGTATGTTTTGTGCCTGCCTGCCACCCGAATCAAACACTTGAACCTGAACCACAGGAAGCGAACTGCTCATCGTCCTCTCCTCTTTGCTCAGCTCTCTGTTCCTAGATCAGTGCTACAACAGCCTTTTCCTTTTCCACAACGCCAACGCAACAGAGATAAGCAAAACCTGGAGCTGACCCAAAATGAAAGCTCAGCATGCACAAAAGCCATATTAATCCTATTGAATTCCTCAGCATGATCGACAGTGCCGAGTCCGCTAATTAATTCAGGATCCCCTCTGCAATCGCTCTGCACAGCAGACAAATATATGAGGTGTGTGTACAGTGCATAGACCTCGCTTGCATGCATGCTGTCCTTGAGTATTGATCTAGTTGTCTATATATGTGCATGTGTATGGATGATTGCAAATGTATAGCCTGTGGCAGGACTAAACTCCATGCAGCATAAGGAGGAAAGAAAAGGGAAAAGAAACTCTTGGGAGTAAGACTCAAGTGTGTTAGTGGTTCAGTAAGCATGCAGTAAAAAGTAGGACTTCTCGAGTAGCTGCATATGTACATTTTCTAGTGAACAAAGGTTTTGAAGAGAAGATTAACTGGGGGGGAATGGATTCTACACAATGACGCAACTGGCAGAAAGGCAAAAAACAAAGCTGTCTGTCTTCCTATCTGCTCGTCAGATTATCTGTGTAGTCTTACCTTTCATACCGAATTTGGAGCGCCGGCCATATTTGTTGATGAGAACAAAAAGGACGAGGAGGAGGACGCAAGCGAAGCCCGCCAAACCAACAGCGATGGAAACCTGGGAGAAACGAAATGCTGTGTCAGACTGAGGCAGCGATCAAAGGAGTGTGTTCACATCATAATCTTTTCCAGATTTTTGATCACCTTAAATACTGCAAATCAGACTTTAATCCACTAGATTGTGACTACTGCTTTCTCATAGATTACAGCAGTGTGGAAAATAGTTAAACAGCTGTCTGGCTGTGATGTATTCAAGTTGACAGAATGTAATTTAAATGTGATCCTCATCTACAGCCAGATTTACTCTCAGTGCAGTTTGGAAAAAAGTGCAGTTACTACTTTAAAGTCTTGTGTATGGCGTGACTCTAAAGAAGCTGCTGTATCTGAAAGGCCTGTTTTAGCATCATCATTTCAACCAGTTATTTCTGATCTAAACTGTACTAATCTGGATGTGTAAGAATAAATACTATAAGTAGTAAAAATATTGACAGCTGCTTTTTATCCACAGTTATACAGCAAGGTTTGCTACTCATCATCACCTACAGGATTTAATGCTCTCATGTTTAATGCCACATTTAATAAGCCAATAAATAACTGTTTACTCATAAAATTAAAAAGGAAATAAAATAAGAAAAGAAAGATCATCCAGCAACCCTACAGAGCTATATTTTTCACAGCATGTATCTTGACTTGTCATCGCAAGAACAGCACAGACATAAACAATAACATTAAAGGGGCTGTAGTCTCTCTGAACGTTGTTTATTGGTGGGAGTGGGAGGTTGTGATGGTCACTTGCCAAGAGCTGCATTTATACAATACAAAAGATGAATATAAATTCTGAGAAGCGCTACATCTTTGGGGCAGACTGGACACCCAGCTGGGCCAGGGCTAGCTGGGTAGCATGCTAACTTCAATTGAAGAAAATAAGTGATAGAGAGTCAACATTGGCGTTGCTTTCCACCACCGGAGACAGCTCTTGGCAAGTAAAGGAATGAAATTTGATGCTGGACATGCAACCTTTTCTTCTAGACTGGTAAGTAAACAGCTGTTAATGCTAACTTTGGCTATGTAGCAACAGCAAAAACTCACATATAGCACCTTTAAAAACGACTGTGTTCCATCTAGGTGAGCTTGTTCCTGGGTGGTGTTATTGTGTTTCACTGTCATGGCTTACTGGAAATATTTGATCGTTTATTAAATTTGTTTTCCTGCTATGACAAGTCAAAATGTCTGCTATGAAAAAGATCTATCGGTACGGCAAGCCTCTGGGGAGCTTCGGATCTCTCCACATGTTGAAGTGATGTGCATCAGACAGAGATACAATGCATTTTCTTTTCTTTAGACTTTTTAACACCAGAAACACAACAGCCAAAGCTTAAGGTATTAATTGTGTCTATCTGTTCTAACACTGCAGTTTTTAGCATGTCCAGCTAACTTGCTTCCTACAGTAGTACCAGAGCACTACTTCTAAGGCTAAAGAGCATTTCATTAACCAACTACTTGGTTTGTTTGGTAGTTTGTGAGTAAAGTAAAAGTAAAAAAAAAAAACAGAAACAAATGTTCACAACTAGCACATCTGTTGTGTAGTATTCCCCCGTGGTGTGGAAGATGGTCCTGGATGATATCAGACTAACATTATCGGCTGTCTCCTGTTCTTTACTGGATTTGGTGAGGTTATACTTCAGCAACCCCAAACACCTTTCCAGAGATGGCGTTATGTCTAGCAAACACATTAATTTTCATCTTAAAAGTATTTTCTCTTGTATTGCTAAAAATGAAAAACTGCAATAGAAGAACAATACTGTGTCTTTAGGTTCATGTAAAGGTATATAAAGGTCCATCCACAGCCCATTACAGTGACGAAAGTGTTTAAATATTCAGTGTGGCTGCTCCTGCACAACGGCTGTTACTGTAAAACATGAACCTTTTGGACTCGTCAGAACAGGAAAAGCACACAGGTGTAATTAATATCACTAACGATGGCTGAGTTCCATTTATGTGTAAGTCATGCCTCTGATGGAGCATGCATATAATCAGTGAACTGGAACTGTCACATCTCAAAGACTGCAAACGCTGTGCTTGTACTGTTATGACACGTCAAAATATCTACCAGTAAAAAAAGCCCATTAACTGCAATAGTAGGAGTTAGTATCTCTGTCTAACTCACCAGCACTGGTTTCAAAAACTGTACAGAAGCCGCATATTACATAATATTTCTAAACAGCATCAGTCACTGTAGGAATGTGTTACCATCATCAACATTATTAGTGTCCAAACATACAACTTTGAAAAATGACTTTAACGTCTTCTGGTGTGTTGTAGTCTTTGTGCCTCCGCGCTACATGTCAACAGAACAGTGCAAATCCCTACGAGGGGCTTTGACAAATAAAAAGCAGTTCAGCTTTGCCTTGAAACACACAGCAGCTCTGTGCTGAGTCCAGGGGCAACATCTTTAGCATCTGTTTCATCAACATCATTAAGGAGAAAACTCACCCCGAATGTATCTTCATCTGGTCGGCCTGATTCACCATCTGATGGCGTCGAAGTAACTGCAACATAAAAACACAAAACGGGCATCAGTTGCTGTGAGTAAGAATAAACCCTTAATGGCCGCGGTTTACTTTCACATGCAATTACAATAATTAAGGAGTAAACTGAGAATGTTTCACACTTTTTTTCTTATAACAGTGCACCGTCATGCACTGTGCTATGCAAAATATGCTTTAAGCACACGTCACAGTGGATACATTAGAATAAGGTATTTTTCGGTCTATTATGGAATGAACCTGTTTACGCAGAGTGAGCGTAACACTTACACGGGTTAATGCACAGCTTAAAAGGCTAGAATAAGGTGACCTGATGTGCTCTCTAGTGTATATAATTGAAAGCATATTTTCAGCATCTCCACATAGCCAAATAGGTTAATTAATGTTTTTGTGATAGGTCTCGCTGCTATTTGAACATATCCGTTTGTGCTTTCCTCATTTGTGTGTCCCTCCTCTTATATAAACTCTTGAGTATTTGCTGCTCATGTTTTTCTGAGAATCGAATAAATGTTAAATCTCTCAAAGTGGATTAAACAGGAAGAACTATGCCTTCCCGCTGTTTTGTGCCTTAACAGCTAGAGACAATGTTGATGAACTATGCATTTTTATGTTTAGAGGCTGATAAAAGGCTTTCGGTTAGAAGTCTGCACAGCCTTGAATACACTCACGTCTGACACCTGTCACAAGGTTCCTACCAAGGCCTGAAATTTGCCATCCAGAGTTACAGCCAGACTCAAGAGTGACAGAAAATACATTTTATCATAATTTCACAAAGGCACACTCATGCTTGTTCACACACAACAACAAAGAATAATGAAAACAAGCTGTTTTAGAGCAAAACACAATCAGAAAAAAACAGAAAAGAAGCTCATACAGCCCTGAGCACCAAATGCTAAATTATGTGAAATTAAATCAGCTCAAAAATGCACTGAACCAAATCAAACTTGACATCTTTATCTGAAAAATGTCATGCAAATTTTCAACTCAGGTCAGGTAGAAGAACTCCTACAGTCACCAGTAGTCGTATTAATGTCTGAAAATCCATTCTGACTAATTTCTTGATGTTAAAATGCATGTCACATCCCTGCAAACAAGAGGTTTTGGCAAAGAGCAGAGGTGTGAGAAGTTTAAGGAGAAGAGGACAGAGAGAAGGCCATGAAACCAAATGAACTGGTGTCAGGGAAACTCCATTCTGAGGCCTCCAGCCAGGACATCAGAGACTAATTGTGGGCAAATTAATGGCCACATGGTAGACTGGCTGCCACTGGCTCAGACACACACAGTACACTAAAGTGCATTGCTCTGTGTGTAAGTGTGTGTGCCCTAACTACCCTCTCTCTGTCCCTTCTTCCCAGCCTCCATCCCTGTCCTCTCTCCTCCCTCTGCCCTCCTCTCTCCTCAGCAGCATTAGTTTCAGTCAACCCGTCAGTCTCTCTTCTACTGCTGGACTCCCTCACACACCGCTGCTATAATGTTTCACACTCTTGTCACCTTAACACCTCTCCCTCACCTGCCTCGCTCCCAGAAACGGTGTGTATGTGTGGCAACATAAAGTCGTTGCCTGCCTAATGCAGCTCGCCAACACAGTCAGTATCCATCCGTCTCTATCCCTGGCCACTCTGCAGCTTTATAATCCGTGGCTTATTAGAAAGAATGGCCTCATATGGAGATGGAAGAAGACTCTGATGACGGTCAAAGATCAGACCAGCCCACTTTGTTTAAGCTGTCAACAGTGAGTCTGCCACAACAGCCTGAGGCCAAGCCACACATCACACACAGGAGATTTACGATGCAGTGTGAGAGTGGGCCAAAGCATCGCTCCCACAAGATGACAGCACTTACCACTTCACAAACATTCACACATCACCAGCTAACGGGGTGAGAAACTAGCTTGTTTACACAGAGAGTGGTTAGTTAGGGGTTAGAGAAGCAGCATACTTATGCAACCTGAGTCGCTGATACAATCCTCAATAAACAGAATGAGAAATATCTGGCATGTGATTTCCGTTGCTGATTCCAGCCGTGGACTTTGTCCAATGCTGTGCACCCCTCTCTTTCTCACCCCCCTTTTTTGCTGTCTACTCGCAAATAAAGGCGTTCAAATCAAAAAATATCTTTGAAAAAAAGAGCGTGTGAAAGAATGACAAAAACTTGACCCTTCCTCAACAAATGACCCTTTCCCTAAACCCCTCCCTCATTAGCAATCCTAGTTAAGCAACAAAGTACGGCAAGTCTGTCTGGTTGTAGCAAACCAGCGTTACGTCTAAGACCTAACACATCCACCGTGTAATATTTACCCTCTGCGTGGGAGCTGGTCCTGGGTGCTATTATATCAGAGTTTGGGCTAACATTAGCAGCTGTGTCTTTCTCTTTATTAGATTTGGGGAATAATGAAGAAATTTTTCCTTTTCTCTTGTTACATTAAAAATGTATCACATTGAAATATACCAACATTACCAACAATAAAGCTGTCTGTCTCGTCTGAGTATGTAAGGTAAGAAGCCAAACAGGGCTATGTTAAAAAGAAATAAATATATATTTTCTACCATCATATATTCCAACTGTGATACTTTAATGTCATGTACAGTCATCAAGTGGATATTGAAGACCCCATTTTACATAGCTCTTGTTTTAAAATGAGTCGGCTTGAAACACTAAAAAGTCAGCTGGAGATGACATTTTTAATCAACTCATGAAGATACTGTTAGCTCAAATGGCTAGCTAATATTACCTTATTAGCTCCAGCTGATAAAATCTGCTGTCATTTCAGCTGGCAAAATTGATGGTTGCATATTATGAAGAGAAGCCATTTTCGTCTTTCATCTTTCTGTCTCAAAAACTACTAAGCGTTTTCGAGGGTACGTCTGCCAACATAATCAACAGGTACAGAAAGGAAAAAAGGAAAGGAAAAGGTAAAAACTGCAACAACAGTTGCATTACCCCCCAACAACCTCAAAAAAAGGGGGGTTTTGACTAAAAGGTTGATAGTTTGAATCCCTTGATTAATCCAAGCAGAGAAGGTGAACACTGTTCCCTCTCTCTCAACAGCCTGGGGGTCACTGAGCAAAGCACAGAGTATACTATACACTCAGTATGTGTAGCAAAGCAGTGTTAACTGCTGTTTATGAAATGCAACACAAAAGTGAACACATTTCACCATGGTTACTGTCTTAACTGTCCTAACTAGCGCACCATTAAGTGAAGTGTTTGTCTCCGTGTGTATGATTACACCAAACAACAAGCACTAAAAGAGCAAAAAAAAAAAAAAAAAATCAGGTTTAAATTTGAAAATTGAAACACTCACCTAGTTCCATTATTTCTGCAAAAGAGAAGACAGAGAAAGTCACACTATGTCAATAAATTGACACAAGGTATTAACCTTGGAATATTGACCATAGGGAAAAATTTGCCAGCCTTTGTGGGTTTATTCTCCCTCCTTGTGAACTCAGGATGAACTGCAGGCGAACAATCTACCTGACTGAACTGTGGATGAACCCTGGCTGCTATCCAGCCAACAGGGATCAGCTCCACAACCTGCAACCTGTGAAGCGAGATTTTAATAAGAACTAAAAGCCCCCAATAGAGCGGAACCTCTAATTCACACAACAGGTAGTGAAAACAAGAACTGTTTGAAGTGGGCCTCTTGTGGAAATCAGTGAGTTATGTGATGGCCAGGCAGTAAAAGTGTGTTAGTTACCCTCATATAAATGACATTTGACCTTAAGTGTACTCTCTATTGTGATTATGGGGACATCAGTGCTGCCGACTGTGCATCACTCATTAACCACACACACACTGGGGAATAACTACCAAGCAGAAATGGTCCGCTCACCTTCATCAATGATGCCCGGTTTCATGAGGAAGTGGGCATACACCGTCTTGGTGACTGTTCCCAGGGGGTTGCTGGCCTCCAGAGTGTAGTTGCCGTTGTTGATGTGTGTGGGGTTCTGGAAGGTCAGACACCCCTCCAGATAGTCCTGGTAGAAGTCCATCTCAGTTCGGATGTAGTCGTTCTGGAGAATCTCCTTCTGCTTGTACAACCAACGCAGCTTGGGGTGGGGGTAACCCCGAACCGTGAACTCGATGCAGGTGTGGAGGCGCTGCTCAGGCTCAGCCAGTCTCAGGATGACAGGAGGAACTGCCGTGAGGAATTGAAAGAAACTATGTCATTTAAAAGACACAGAAACATTATAGGCATTCAGATCATTGGGGACAGAGCTAAGTGAGTAGTTCTTTGACCACCTTCTTTCCTTCTATCCTCTTTAAACCTTTTGTTCGCCTGATTTTTAAGCTGGAGACCTTTATGTGCTTAGAAAGTTCCTTGGGCAGTTGAAAACCTTTCCTAATTCTTTGAATAACCTAAACTGCAGCAGACTAAACACTGAGCTGTTGTGATATGTTCTGGGAAAGATGACATTTGGAGTTTGGTTTCTTGCCTGGGCGTGGCAATGAGCCTTTCACTGTGTGTTACATATTGCAGCATTACACTGGATGGTGAAGAAAACAAACAGATAGAGGGACTGCTCTTGCTTGAAATAAACGGAGGAATCTCCTCTGCATAAACAAGCACAGGACCTCTCTTTCCTGACATGCAGCAACACACCTCCGAATCCACAACACCTCCAAGCTGAGAGGCAATTTATCACTTTAATACCATCAGATACATTTCATGAACAATTCATCCACTGATTTGTCTTTGCAATGAGTCACTCTTGCAGCTACATCATCAAAAGGAAATATTTGGCAGACGGCATTACCTGGCAGTCTCTCTCTCTGTGTCTGTTCTACATACCAGCCACCCCCCATCAGACCAACCCAGCCACCTCCACAGCGTGCACACATCCTCATGATACACCATCCCTTTGTCTCTTGCTGGGTCTCAATGGAGCCTGCATTTTCTATAGGCATGTGTGAGAAATCCTATTTATATAACTAGATCAGAGTTGTATGTGTGTGGTTGTATTGTCATTCAGACAGTCCTGCAGCTGTCCCAATGAATCCCCACCTGCAGTTGCATGAAGTGTGCTACTTAATACTACATGTTTCCTAGTTAGAATTTTAATCGTGAAATAGGGTTGGGGTTAGTTAAGTAATTCATTAATTAAAAATATAAAATACTTGATGATCACAATCACTGAATGAGGGATTTGCATAGTCAGATTAATCTGTTTGGAGGCCCAAAGGCAAAAATCTGTGGTTGGGTGCCGATTATCTCCTTCCATCATCTGTGAATTGTATCTGTACCCTATCGCCTCCAAGTTCCCATTAGTGTAAGAACAATAAACAAAGCAGGCTATATAGAAGCTTTATTGTTTGCCTAAGCATCCCATCAGTGCTCCCATTCTGGGCCCAGGGTTTCTATATGTCAGTTTGTTGAGGGAGTTTGATTAAACAGCTTGATTTGAGAAAATGTACAATACAACAATACAGCCATGTTAGCAGCTCTGTGAAGCTATATTTATGCTGAGCCGTGATGAGTCCTTGATATGTCCAGCTGGTGTAATGCTTACCATCTTAGTTTAGCATCCCGGCTGAGGCTGATGGAAATGTGGGAATTTGGTCCAACTTTAGTATTGGACAATTTAAAAGTTTGACCTGATGATGCCGCTAATATGAAAAGTTGGTGTTGTGATATTTCATCCCGAAGAGGTCTGAAGCAAACTACAGTTGATCACTGACGTCAGTAGGATTCATGCTCTGGGGACCACATGTCTGTACGGAGTTTGGTTCCAACCCATCTGGTAGATGTTCCAATGCCAATTCAGTTAATAGTTGTAGAGATATTTTAGTCTGGACTAATGGATGGATGGTGGACCGACCCACCAACACACTCACATTGTCATACCACTAGCATTGCTAAAAATGGTCTTTACAAGACAGGGTCAAAATGAGATTGTAATACAGGGTCCGTCTTCACCTCTACTGTACTGTGCAGCATCCTGACCAAATTAGCAGTTAAATTATATTACATATTCCATTTTTGCCCACTTTACCCAGTTGATAATCCAGTCTGGGGGGTTTTGTCACTGCTGATCAAACAGTAATCGTAAAGCCACCTTTTTCTTCAGCTTTCAAAGATGAAAATTGAATTTTACAATGTCTGTAAACAACAACCTGACATTCACACCCACTTCCCACTGTGATTGGCCAGGTGTGTGGAGGTGAGTAAGTAAGTGGGGCTTGAACCTCTCTCTCAAGGTCTCTTTTTAAATTATTTATACATCTACTTCTGTCACTTTCATGTGAACAACCAGGGCTACACTATGATTGCCATCCAGGAGAGACTGTCTGAAAATGTGCACTGTCATCCCCGTATTTTAATGATTATTGTGTCTCCCCCATCTCTATGACAACCGGCTGTTGACTTTGTCTTTCAGTGTGGCTGTTTGGATTTGGTACAAACACTTTTAGATTTACTATGTGATTGGACAACAAGTTGTACAAACCTACTTTATTCTAGAACAACACGGCCCTGATTGCAAATGCTGAAATTGTGTTTCATGATTAACAGCCAGTAATAGACTATGATTGAGCGATTTAAAATGACTGTCAGATAAAGTGATTATAAATGTTACCGTCAGTTATATATACCTGTCATCGAATGGATGCTCATGTTTTCAAACTAAATAATCATCCAGTAAGGACATGAATAAACTATTTATTGGTGTTCGAAAGCTGTCATTTCATAAATTGCTTTGGTGATATTGTTTCTGCCAGACAATAGTGACAATAAAGTCATTCAACTGAACTAAAGGCTAAGGCATGTGTATGTGTGAACATGTTGGTGTGTGGGCGTGTGCAGAGCTGTGGTTTTGAGCGCAGGAAGAAAGAGAAAAGATAGAGATGAGAGAGAAGAAGAGAGAGGAGGGAGGAAGAAGTGAGGGCGGTATATAGCTGTGCAGCCTAAAGACAGACAGAGAGAAAAGCGAGAAGAAAAACAAAAATTCTCCTGTTGATGGACAGTTAGGGACCGATCCATTTTCCCCCCAGTAAGGCTGTCAGCCCAGTCTCAGTCAATACAATGCAAGTCATTACAGCGCTCCATACCGGTCTATAACAACATGGTGTCCTCGTGGAGCTCATACAGATGACAAGCTTTGATAACTACATGCCTTTGATCAGCGAGAACCCTGAATACATGTCGAGTTGTGCAATGTTATCTATTGGTAACACTGGTGGCATATTTCAAATGCCATGTTCCAGCCAGACTACAGATAGACCATCATGGTTGGCGGTGACAGGGGAGGCAACAGTTTCATGAGACATGTATTGCCACATATCCCCTCAGGGCTGAACCACTTTGTGATTAACACTTTAACCTATGAAGCAGCACACTTACATCCAGAGTCTCAGGAGGGATTCAAGTCATCTCATTTGCTCATTAATTAGTCATAATTAGAGTTAATGCCTTGCTCAGAGCTACGCAGGAAACAGAACTACGAACCTAGGTGTTAGTGTCATGTTCTTAATAGAGAGCTACACTTTGCCTATAGGAGTGATGGAAAAACCATGGTAACGTATATTAGTCCACAATGCTGTAGAGCTGCTATTGTTCCAGACAGCAGCAGAACAATGGGTCTGCAGAATTTGCATTGTGGCTAATTACAGTTTCGCTAAAATTGGGAACTCATCTTTGAATGCAGAGAATGTTACTTGACGGCTGGTAATTTTGCTGTCAATCAGATTACTCCCTAATCAGAGCAGCAGTTTTAGCTATTTTATGACATTTCCAGAGACAATAGGCTGCACAGGGGAGGAAATGTAATTACCATCAGAGCATGTGGTGAAAAATTAATAAGTCAATTTGCAGCACCAGCAGAGAGTGTCAACAGGGGGAAAAAAAATGCCTGGAGATGTACATCCATAGAGTGTCCGTGTGGAGGAAGCCCTGAAGACTAGATGTTGCAAAGTCAATCAGTCATTCTAGCATGGTCCTTAGCAGCTCTGCTCCAGTAGGGGAGTGTTTGAATTGGTGACAAATCTTCCCTGTCCTGTAGCGTGATGCATTGCAAACAGCCACAACAGATTGTACTCTACAACAGCAAGCTTGCTACAAAGAGAAAAATGTCAGCTAACTTTGATAAATATTAGCTTTGAATACAGTCATTCCCAAATCTGCCCAGGGCCAATCCACTGGTCAAAGTTATGAGTTATGTAAGAGCTGATACTGTAATTCATGGTCTGGATACTTACATGGTTACCAAATCATTGCTTTATCATTACTGAGGGTTATATATTTTTTCCTTTTCTTTTTCCGATCAAGGCTGAGCTTTGATGCGGGCTGCGGGGTATATTCTTGCTAATTGGCTGCATCAATTTCACTTGGTTTGTAACTGTATAACACCTCATTGCATTCTAAATGTACCTGCATAATTTGGCTGCTCTGCTTGATAAAGGAGAATTTTTTTCCTGTTGTAAATTATTCTCTTAGACTGTCGGCGTCATTAATACAAGATATATTTTCAGTCTTCAACATAAGTCCATCAAAGACAGCCATCTTATGCAAAATAAAAACCACCAAGTGTTCTTGACCTCATGTAACCATATATTATATATAATAAGTATCTTATAGAGTTTTTTTTTCTTTTTTTTTGATTTGTTTTCTTACTGTCTGCCTGATTGCGTCTCTGCAAAGTCAGTGGCAACCATTCATGTCGTGACTGATAAGAATCATGCTGCAGGACCTATATTAAAAGCAGAACCAAAATCATAAATATCTTCATACAACCAAATCTATTCACAATTCATAATCCTCAATAATCCTAATCTAGCATAAAGCTGAGCCAAAGACATGGTGATGAGAGTGGCAGGAGTGAACAACAACAGTAAAATTGCAGGCCACAAAACCAAAACAATGAGCTGAAAGACACTACGACACTCCGTACAGCTGAGGGGACGTGCAGAGTTGGGTGATAATTATCCATGGGATCATCACTATCACATTACATGCGGTCATTTAATCCACTGTTAAAATAAAAACATGAAATATAGGAGCTTTAAGGTGTTTGAGCAAGATCATGATTTTGGTCAAGTCATCTCATCTTGTGCTTGTAGTTAGCACTGATATAGTTCAGTTACTTAATTTAATTTTAATGTTTCCTCATATTGATACTGCATTACATTTCTACATTTCCTTTATTCTTTATCCCATCCTGTTACCTTGTGTTGCTTTATTTACTAATGCAAATAGATGCTATAAGGGTTTCATTCTTAGCGGGCATAGTTGGCACAGACTGTTATACATTATTACCCCTCACTGTGGTCAGTCAAATTCAAAGACAGCAGCACTGTCTTTAAACCCAGCCAGGCCAGCTTGTCTTGGCTCTGAAGAAATAGTTACAGTGGCATTAGGACATTGATATATGCCTCACAAAATAACTGACTGACAGATGACCGACAATGAAGCTGTCAACTGTACAAATGTCACTTCAGCACTGACGTTTAAGGCCAGTATCAAATTGTGCTGTCTTTTGGTATAGTGCTTATTTAAGGGAGAGTGGAGACACCTACGTCGAGGTCTGTATCAAAATATGTAAGATTTTACCAAACCACGGTAGACGCCAGATAAGTTGATGGCCTCTAATATGGATAAGCCACTAGCTCAGCAGTCGGCCACAAGATTTCATTCCAAGCAATCACTTCACCAGAAGGGCTCACTGATTAACGTCTTCAACAACAGAGCAACATAATTTCACCTTTTAAGCATTAAAATTTATTCAGAGCATCCATGAAGAGTCGGCACAGAGGATCCAACACCAAGACACACAACTGTTAATGGACAGAATACGCTACATTCAACCCTGGGCTAACCCTTACTGATCCCACACTTAATCTTGACCAAACATTAAAGACTAGCATTAGCAGGACGTTAGCAGCATGGCTCTAGGGGAGGCGATATTGGTCACCAGTTTGGTCCAGACTGTCTGACTCTTCCTGTAGCGCCACCATGAGGTTGACATTTTTGCTAATTAGTGAGGTGTCTCGACAACTGTTGGATGGTCTGCCATGAAATTTGGTTGCGACATTCATGCCCCCTCACACTGTAATAACCTTGTGCCATCATCAGTTCAAAATTCTAAACCTGTCTTAATGATATACTCATGCACGCAGAAGTTAGTGTTTAGCTGAAAGCACCACTGCACCTTCACACAGCCTCACAGAGCCTGTGGGTTAATAAAGTCTGCCCTGTAGCAACCCTGGCGTTAAAGGTAACAGTGTAAAATATTGAGGTTATAAAATGTCACAGTCATTTTACATACAAACATATTCTAATGACCATATTAAGATGACCTATTTAAATAAACCTACTTTGAATTGTAGCATTAGACAAAGCAGGTGTAAAAAGTATAAAAAGTCCAATATTCTACTATGTTGTCAAACAAACTATGATACTTTTTGTTTTTTTTATTTGTCATTGTTGTCTGGTGGTAATAACCTTTATGAAAATAAACATAAACAGCTACACCTAATTAGGAGATTCATTAAACAAATCAGTAATAATAAGCAAATATTTTATGTCAACATACTCACCGTCACATAAAATGGGCAGCATTAATATCAACTCGGAATCTTCAAGCATTTTATGAGAATGTAAAAATGTTTTTCTTATCAATGTGCAAATTTAAACATGACAGAAGCGGGCAATCAAAGGGAGCCTCTAGTGTTAAGTTTGAAATGTTTGTGTCTGGTTGTGAGTTAATGTGTCCACTACTGATCTAAATGTAGATTCCCCACCACCACCACCACCACCACCACCACCACCACCACCTCTACAGTGATTGGCCAGTTTCCTCCAAACATTTCACTCACACTGTACGTTGAGCTGGATGGAGGAGTTGGTCATCCCCACAACGTTCTCTGCGATGCACGTCAGCTGGAAGTTGTTGTCATCTCGGCTGATGTTGAAGAGAGTCAGGTTGATAGAGTGGATATTGGGCCAGTACACATTGGACTATGGACAGAGAATGAAAGACAGAGATGTTTAGGTATACGAAGGATATACTGTGCAGCACATACAATCATATTACAGGGTTTGAATCTTTAATTACTTAATTAAAACTTAAGTTAATTATTAATCTGTTGAATTCCTGTGGAAAGAAACAGAATACAGTGAGGAAGTACACACTACCAATGGGAATTAATTACTTCAACGATTTAGTCTTGTCTTACTACTAGGGCATGAAGTGCAAGAATGTAAAGAGCGATAAATTGTCAATTCTGGCATTAATCAGACTAACTGATTCACAGAGTAACACCTTTAGGTAGCCAAACACAATGCTTATGTTTCCCTCCTTGCCTTCAGTTGGCCAGGCTCCTCAACACTTCACTCATCTCAATGCGCCACAGTATCCGTCTACCCGAAACCATCAAGCCTGAGGCTGAGGTAACTTTCATCTGTAAAGTCACTGCAAGCATTAAAGACACAGATGCCAAACACAGCCACATGGCAATTTCAGAAACTGCTGTTCTCCTCTTCTTGGTGTTTATCTCTGCTCTTGTTATTGCTGTGACGTCCCCGGGGCCTGACTCAGGGAGTGAGATTAGTGTGTTAGCTGGCTCGCTGTGGGTTCAACCCATGCCTCCCACTCTCACAAAACTGGCCTATTTTGAACAGGGGCAGGTCACCATGGTAACCTATGCAGCAAAGCCACTCAGCAAAGCTGCTTGTTTGTTCGTGAATAAGTGATTTAACTATTGTTGATTTTTTTTTTTTTTTTTAGTTGGCTTAAGATTTATGTGGAGCTGTTGTCAAAGCAACAAGTCAAAATGCCCAAAACTGCAAAAATGCAGGTAAATTCAAAGTCAATGTCAATGAATGGCAATGAGTCTGTTGAGTCTATTGAGTCTGTTGATCATTATCTGGATCATAACCAAGAGTTTTATTGTTAGACCGTTTGTGAACAGATTTTCAGATACAAATGGCTTGTTTACTCACTCAGAGGCAAAATGAAGAATTGTTAATATAATGATGATTTTTGATGAGCATATGCAGGTCATTGGGAATCATAATGATAAGTTTGTACACTAAAAAACACCAATAAAAATCTGAAAAATGTTCAGTAAAGCTGCTTTTTGAGGCCAATGCTTGTCATAGTGCTTATAGAGTTAGGGTTACAATTAGGTTACAATTAGGTTTAGGTTAGGGTTAGGGGTAGTGTGTGTGTGTGTGTGTGTGTGTGTGTGTGTGTGTGTGTGTGTGTGTGTGTGTGTGTGTCTGACCAGGTGTGTGTTGATGGAGTGCAGGCCGCTGACAGTCCAGTCCACTTCAGGAAGTGGCGATCCAGATCCATTGCAGCTCACTGTCACATTGTCACCCTCCATCACCAACACACTGCTGTGGCTCACACTGATCTCTGGTAAGTCTGAAAACACACATGCAAAAATAATACACACACACACACACACACACACACACATACACACACACACACACACACACAGTTTATGTTCATGTTAATACATGCCTGTCACTGCTTGTGTCTACATATTTTCACACCAAATCAATTAATCACTTTTCATTACTGTAATGAAATTAGTACAAAGGAAGCAATGGGACACAGGCACACACACACACACACACACACACACACACACCGCAAACACACACACAAACACACTTTAGATGTCACAGGGATGAGTCACCAACAGGAGATAATACTGCAGTCTACAGCCTCTGTCAGAATTAACACACAGCTCCTCACATCAGATTCACCCACTGAACTCTGTCACACCTCCTCCTCTTTCCGCCTCAACTCCTCTCCCTGCTTCTCTTTGCGTCCCTCTATTTCACCTTTAACCCCTTCCGTCTTCCTCCTGCTTTTCCCGTCTCCTTCCGTCAGCCATTCCCCGCTTCACCTTTCACTTTTTTTCCCCCACTCCTTCGCTCTCCTCCTCTCTAGCCCCCCCCCCCTGCTGTTTCCTCTTCCTTTATTCTTTTCATCCTTTTTAAACACAGATCATATCCTCCTCCTCCTCCTCCTCCTCCTCCTCCCCTCCTCTTACCACAGTTGTGGATGTACATGTTGTGCAGTCGTATTTTGGAGGCTCCGTTCCTGCAGTAGAGCTGCTGCGTGTGGAGCCCAGCTTCTCCTTTCTGCTGCCATAGCTGGATCCAGCGGATATCACAACCACAGTCGAACACCACACCATCCAGACGCCTTGAAACACAAGAAAGGAATAATACAATCAACAACAATAACAACAACCAGACTGTGCAGCTACCTTAGGATACAAGCAGTAACGGCACACACCACGATCTGGAGAAAGCACGCAAGCAGCACAGGCAGTGACACTCTTATAGTCATTTATACATATACATATTTTCAGCAACATGAACAGCCTCAATAACAACACAGAAAAAACAGCAGCCTACTGAAGGCAACAATCATTATATCAACTGAATCCATGTAAGTTTTTTAAGCAACACCAACAAAATTAAAAGAGTACTGCATCAACACTGAACTATGACTCATACGCACCGCTTTAGGCTTTATATAATATTTTTCTCATATATGCGGTAGTACTCCTCAAGATGTGTAAACAATATTCACAGAGGCAACAAGTGTTTGGTATCATTAAGTACCAGGAATTTATATCTCAGTGATTCCTGAAATTATTGTCAAAATCTGCTCCGGTTTCCTGAGGAAAACATTCACAGGAACCCAGAATATTTGGCAGGTTTCTACCAAATAAATACTAAGACATATCATGAAATAAACACACCTTCTTCAAAGCTCAGAAACACCACCCTGCAACTGCCATAGTTATAGTTTGACAAATGCCATTATTTACGAAATATAACTGAATTACCTTGCAGTTTCTTCCAGTTATTTCTCAGGGTAAAATGGCAGCCTGCTCTTCAACGCTATGGAAAAATATTTCTTAAAAACCAATGCAGGCACCATCAAATCATCATCCTCAAACCAGCTACACATCACCCTGAAATGGTCGCAGTACATGATCCTCCACACTTGCCCTTGACACTTGATCCTTTCAGCCATTCAATATAGAAATAGCAATACAATTAATAATAATCGAATGCTACATAATCAAGTCAGTCAAATGTTAGTATCAGGCTAACTCCACACATAGTGTGTAGTGAAAGTGTAAGCTTCTCAGAGATATTTCCTGGAAAAAACTTCAGTCCTAGTGTTTGGTGGTGAAATGAACTGCAGTCAGCTGCGACCTCCAAGCTGTGCACACATTCAACCATCTACATTAGCAACGGAGACAGAGGAAGGATCTGACAACACTCAACCTACTTAGCAACATTCTTCACAGTATCAGCAATAACAATATCATTAACAGTGACAATAACAAAAAGCTGCAATTTAATGGCAGTGACTGCCAATACAAAACATTGTATACATGGTATGACAGTCGCCACAGATGTGTGCTTAATAATATTTTTGTAACACTCAATCAACAGATGAGAAAAAAAAAAAAGAATGTCTGCACCGTGGCATTCAAATGTGAGGAGGTCAGAGGTCAAAGCAGTGCTCAGGCTATCAGTCTCAGGCAATATTAGCAGCAGGCAGGTATCATTAGGCTCCTCTGTGCATACATTTCATTCTCACAGTAGTATGCACCACAGAGTCACATTATTCAACGTGGTACGCCACCTCGGCATTTTGCATATGTCCAATTTGGAGGCTGTGATTGACCAATTTTGTTAAGATGAATGCCTGTCCAAATGTCCTTGACAGAGGTCAATAAGATATTCCAGACAGCATGAATAATGTATGGGGCAAGTCCACTGTGCAGTATGAAGTAATGAGAATAGATTCCCGCAGGTGGATCTCGCTTATTATCAGGTGCTCCCTGGATCTGATACTGTGGTTAGAGCTGGGCCTGTTCACATTCACTATATGACAGCTTACTCATTGAGCTAACTCACACTGCTACAAGGACACAACATCATACCAATCCATTATCAGCTCATTTTCTCTTTAATTACTGCACAAAACCGATTCACTTTATTAATGATTAAGAGCAATTATTTTATACAGAAGCCTTCTAATTGCAGTCAGTGTTGACACCAGTTTTATCTCTTATACCAAAGTATCAAAATCTAACTCCTAAAAAATATCCTCCATTTTCCATTTTAGTCAAATTCAATATCCTGCTTTCATTTCCACCGGTTAAGAAAAAATCCACTGTTCAGCTCATTTCTAAATGGTGTAATGATTTCTTTAAGTACTTTGTGTATTATCATTTATAAAAAAAAAAACTCTGGTTGTGTGAGCTTTATGTGCAGCAAGTTTGTTTCTCAAGCTTTTTAATCATCTCTGGGAAAAATGCAGTGTCTTGTCTTCTTTCAAAAGAAACTCAGTGTCCAAGGACAGAATGTAGAAACTGCTAGAAACTGGCAATGTGTCAGTACATGTATCTCTTAGAAAGGAGCAAAGATGGCCTTTTTGAGGGGTATGAACACTCTGAAACACAGATGCACCAGGGACGATTGAATGCTACAGACAGGGCCAGACTTGTGGTGTTGTATATTGTGGCATCTTTCCTCCTATTGCACAATATAATTTAACTCAAGAGCAAAAATAAAGCCCTCTGTCTATGTATTATTTTTCCATTATTATTAATTTATAAAATCTAAAAGTGAACACATTCATCGTGTCCTTGTGTCTTCAGTTACAGCAATTTGTGTTTTGAAAAGAAAGTACAATATTTCCCTCTGAAATGCGATGGCACTTACTTAGCCTTCAGCAAACAGATTTTAATATTGTTTAATTATTATATTAGTAATGAAATGCCAAACATTGGAAGTTAAAAACTAACATTGACATTCATCTGTAGATACTTGACACAGTCTAAATCAGAAAAAGAAAAAAAAAAAGGGGGGGGGGGGGGGGCTGGTCACAAGTTTGAAGTCATTACAAACAAAATATCCCACAGTGAAGAGGAGCAACAACCTATGATCCTTACATGGACTATGAGAACTATACTGTACATAGCACAGAGCAGCTCACTCCAGAGACAGGTGGCTCCCTACATGCCTGTTTGGAGAAGACTTTCCCTGTTTAAGGTTTTCATTTAATGCTGAGCAAGTTAAACCACAAGGGATTAAAGCTCACCAGAGCAGGGCAACTCAGGCTTTCTCCCATTTGTATTGTAATTATGGTAATTGTTAAGAGGCACAACCTCCATACATTACCCAGTGTTCCTCTGGGCAGAGCTCATCAGGGGCAACATGCTGCTGTATAGATACAGACAAAAAAAAAAAAAAGCACTCAAATAGGGGAGCTGCAACCCTGTGTTTCAAACATGTGCCCAGTTTGTACGGCACAGTAACATAGTCGTGATTTTACAGCTCTACCATCTAAACAAGGTATAAGACAAAAGGAAAAAAAAAACTGACAGCTGGAAGTTGATAAATGTCTGGAGGAGAGCAGATTAGACTTATAAAAAAAGAACAAAAGCAAACAGCAGTGTGACCCCAGATACGGAGAGCTAACAGCGTGATGTTTCCTTGAAGCTGGCTAACGATCCACCCCGCTACTCCAGAGGAGAGGTAATGATCACCACCGGAGGCTGTTTTTCTGGGAAATGTACACACAGGTGCTTTGGCTCAGGAGACGTGGATCACAAGCAACGATAAGCTATATACTGCATTGTTGCTGGCGTGCTTTGATCTCAGCTTGAATGCACTGCTTCCTCTACTTATACTGTTGTCAGGAATTATTTTAGGTTTTTAAATCCTGTGTGTTTAATAAATCGCCTTATTTGGCTTATTTCTTTCACTGATCTTGGGTGTGACTGTGGGTTGTATTCCCTGCGATGCCTGGCTTTGTGGTTATTCAGCAGAAACGTGGAGTTGCTCCAGATGCTCTGCTCGTCACATCACCTCTGCAACAATCCAGTGCCTCCAGATGTTAGTGCATATTAATAAGATAAAATGTGAATCTACTGTTGATCGTTAGTGTGAATTTTGAGTGATATATCTCATCATTGGAAAGTGAGCATGTCTCTTTTTTTTTTCTTCTTCTTCTATTTTTTGCCTCTATCTTATTGCTGCTGCGTTTCTGCACTGCTCTTCCCATAGATCACTTGTCAATCAAACAGTGTGGCCACTGCTCTCATTATTATTATAGCGTATTATAATCTGGTGGTCGTGCCCTTCTAGAGTCTTGAATCAGCTGATTGACTGATTGTCAGGCTGAATAATAAGAGACAGCCATGAACTGCTTTCATTTTATCCTGCTTGGCTGCTGCAACACTGCTGCACTGTTGCTCTGTCCCTGTCACGAACATCAAAGTACGCTCACTTTTCATTGTACAGCAGGAGTCGAGAGATTAGAGTGTTAAGAAAGAATATTATAAATCAATCAGGGGGAATAAATGCAGGAAAAAACGGAGAGTTGACTCAACCAATGTCAAATTCAATTCTCTCCTCGTCAGCAAGAGCTTTTACAACATAAGCCTTTTCCCCTGATCCTGCTAAATTTGCTAAACAGTTGCTTTTTACCACACTGCACAAACTCTGTATCATTGCTTTACCACACTCCTGGTTGCTGCTGGACTGGTTCCATCATTGTCACGCCATATCTTCTGCTTATGTCATGAATAAAGCGGCACACTGTGAATAAATAAATCACCGTTTTGTCCCATCATTGCTTTTCTGTAAGGTTGCAGCCACTTGGCCAGTTAGCGTCCCAGCAGGCTCTCTCACTGCCTGACTGTTTTTTTTTTTTTTTTTTTTTTCAAACCACTATGGCATAATTTGTCTGAGGAGCCAGACCTGACTTTGGCTTATCGACAACACCACCTGTGCTGCAATCATGTAGAGGAGTGGGGGCACCATAGTCAGGTCAGGGAAGGCTCCAGGTAGCAAAAACTGACAAAGTGAGCAGCAGCTTAAGGCACATTTTTCTTCAAAGACTGTGGCGGGGGACCCTTCAGATATTTTGGCAGTTATTTTTAGCAGATAGGTGCTTTGAAAGGTGCTTTATGTATGTGTTCATAGTATATATTCAGGATGGATGATAATGATACTGTGACATGTGTCCTATCTATTTATAGTTTGATGTATAGTGTACTCACTTGTGCTATGAATTCTGTTTCATGGATGGCTTTCACTGTACTGCTTTCAGCAAGATAAATCATATTTTTAATTAACAATTATCTAATGTCTATTGTGTCATACAGT